GCTCCTGCATAACGACCGCGTAATATATACATTCTCCTGCATAACGACAACATAATATATGCACTGCTCCTGCATGACGACCACAAATATACACATGCTCTGCATAACGACCACATTAATATATACACATGCTTCTGCATAACGACCACATAATATAACATTGCTCCTGCATAATCGACCCATAATATAATACACATGCTCCTGCCTAACGACCACATAATATCACATGCTCCTGCATAACGACAACATAATATATACACATGCACCTGCATAACGTACAATATAATAATACACATGCTCCTGCATATCGAAACACATAATATATACACATGCTCCTGCATAACGACTACATAATATACACATGCTCCTGCAAACGACAACATAATATATACACATGCTCTTCTGCAAACGACCATATAATATATACACATGCTCCTGCATAACGACAACATAATTAGCACATGCTCCTGCATAACGACTACTATAATATATGCACATGCTCCTGCATTAACGCAACATATATATAACCATGCTCCAGCAAATAGCGTTCTACATAATAATACACATGCACCTGCAATATCGACAACATATAATATGCACATGCTCCTGCATAAACGACTACAATATATCACATGAGCTCCTGCATAACGCTACATAATATATGCACATGCTCCGCATAACGACTACATAATATATGCACATGCTCCTGCATATCGACAACATAATATATACACATGCTCCTGCATAACGGACTACTAATATATACATTGCTTCTGCATAACTAAACCATCATAATTATATGCACATGCTCCTGCATAAACGAACATCAAATATATAACACATGCTCCTGCATAACGGCTAACATAATATATACACATGCTCCTGCATAACGACTACATAATATATGCACATGCTCCTACATAACGACTACATAATATATGCACATGCTCCTGCATAACAATTACATAATATATACACATGCTCCTGCATAACGACCACATAATATATACACATGCTCTTGCATAACGACAACATAATATATGCACATGCTCCTTCATAACGACTACATAATATATGCACATGCTCAAGCATAACGACTACATAATATATACACATGCTCCTGCATAACGACTACATAATATATACACATGCTCCTGCATAACGACTACATAATATATACACATGCTCCTGCATAACGACCACATAATATACACATGCTCCTGCATAACGACCACATAATATATACACATGCTCCTGCATAACGACTACATAATATATACACATGCTCCTGCATAACGACCACATAATATATACACATGCTCCTGCATAACGACTACATAATATATGCACATGCTCAAGCATAACGACTACATAATATATACACATGCTCCTGCATATCGACAACATAATATATACACATGCTCCTGCATAACGACCACGTAATATATACACATGCTCCTGCATAACGACACGTAATATATACACATGCTCCTGCATAACGACTACATAATATATACACATGCTCCTGCATAACGACTACATAATATATACACATGCTCCTGCATAACGACCACATAATATACACATGCTCCTGCATAACGACCACATAATATATACACATGCTCCTGCATAACGACTACATAATATATACACATGCTCCTGCATAACGACTACATAATATATACACATGCTCCTGCATAACGACCACATAATATACACATGCTCCTGCATAACGACCACATAATATATACACATGCTCCTGCATAACGACTACATAATATATACACATGCTCCTGCATAACGACTACTTAATATATACACATGCTCCTGCATATCGACAACATAATATATACACATGCTCCTGCATAACGACTACATAATATATACACATGCTCCTGCATAACGACCACATAATATATACACATGCTCCTGCATAACGACCACATAATATATACACATGCTCCTGCATAACGACTACATAATATATACACATGCTCCTGCATAACGACCACGTAATATATACACATGCTCCTGCATAACGACTACATAATATATACACATGCTCCTGCATAACGACCACATAATATATACACATGCTCCTGCATAACGACCGCGTAATATATACATTCTCCTGCATAACGACAACATAATATATGCACATGCTCCTGCATGACGACCACATAATATACACATGCTCCTGCATAACGACCACATAATATATACACATGCTTCTGCATAACGACCACATAATATACACATGCTCCTGCATATCGACCACATAATATATACACATGCTCCTGCATAACGACCACATAATATACACATGCTCCTGCATAACGACAACATAATATATACACATGCTCCTGCATAACGACAATATAATATATACACATGCTCCTGCATATCGAAAACATAATATATACACATGCTCCTGCATAACGACTACATAATATACACATGCTCCTGCATAACGACAACATAATATATACACATGCTCCTGCATAACGACCATATAATATATACACATGCTCCTGCATAACGACAACATAATGTATGCACATGCTCCTGCATAACGACCACATAATATATACACATGCTCCTGCATAACGACAACATAATATATGCACATGCTCCTGCATAACGACCACATAATATATACACATGCTCTCCTGCATAACGACAACATAATATATACACATGCTCCTGCATAACGACCACATAATATATACACATGCTCCTGCATAACGACTACATAATATATACACATGCTCCTGCATAACGACCTCATAATGGGTGTGAGGCACACAATAAAACAGCAGTTTCACCAACAAAATCTCTTGCTATAATGTTTTTCGTTGATTCATAGTTTATATGGTCTCATATACTCTACAGTATTTAAGTTTTTCCACATATTTATCCTCACAATGTCTAAAAAACAGAAAAGTCGTGGCCGGTGTTGTCTCTGTAGATGTAACATAAAAGTCGTGGCCGGTGTTGTCTCTGTGCATGTAACATAAAAGTCGTGGCCGATGTTGTCTCTGTACATGTAACATAAAAGTCGTGGCCGGTGTTGTCTCTGTAGATGTAACATAAAAGTCGTGGCCGGTGTTGTCTCTGTACATGTAACATAAAAGTCGTGGCCGGTGTTGTCTCTGTACATGTAACATAAAAGTCGTGGCCGGTGTTGTCTGTGTACATGTAACATAAAAGTCGTGGCCGGTGTTGTCTGTGTGGATGTAACATAAAAGTCGTGGCCGGTGTTGTCTCTGTAGATGTAACATAAAAGTCGTGGCCGGTGTTGTCTCTGTACATGTAACATAAAAGTCGTGGCCGGTGTTGTCTCTGTACATGTAACATAAAAGTCGTGGCCGGTGTTGTCTCTGTACATGTTACATAAAAGTCGTGGCCGGTGTTGTCTCTGTACATGTTACATAAAAGTCGTGGCCGGTGTTGTCTCTGTACATGTTACATAAAAGTCGTGGCCGGTGTTGTCTGTGTGGATGTAACATAAAAGTCGTGGCCGGTGTTGTCTCTGTACATGTTACATAAAAGTCGTGGCCTGTGTTGTCTCTGTACATGTTACATAAAAGTCGTGGCCGGTGTTGTCTCTGTACATGTTACATAAAAGTCGTGGCCGGTGTTGTCTCTGTACATGTTACAGTAAAAGTCGTGGCCGGTGTTGTCTCTGTACATGTTACATAAAAGTCGTGGCCGGTGTTGTCTCTGTACATGTTACATAAAAGTCGTGGCCGGTGTTGTCTGTGTGGATGTAACATAAAAGTCGTGGCCGGTGTTGTCTCTGTACATGTACATAAAAGTCGTGGCCGGTGTTGTCTCTGTACATGTTACATAAAAAGTCGTGGCCGGTGTTGTCTCTGTAATGTAACATAAAAGTCGTGGCCGGTGTTGTCTGTGTGGATGTAACATAAAAGTCGTGGCCGGTGTTGTCTCTGTACATGTTACATAAAAGTCGTGGCCGGTGTTGTCTCTGTACATGTAACATAAAAGTCGTGGCCGGTGTTGTCTGTGTGGATGTAACATAAAAGTCGTGGCCGGTGTTGTCTCTGTACATGTTACATAAAAGTCGTGGCCGGTGTTGTCTCTGTACATGTAACATAAAAGTCGTGGCCGGTGTTGTCTGTGTGGATGTAACAGATCATTGAATTAACTTGCCGCTTTGGAGGCAAAATCTTATTCTTAAATATTATTTTTTAGATTATTTTATGCCAGAGACGACACACTCATCCGTAATGTGCTCTTGTCTTCCATTAACTTCCCAAAAGGCTTTTGTATATGGATTCAGAATGCCTTATTCGATAGCCTTGAAATCTTAAATCATGTTGAACTGTAAATAAGGAATGTTCAGGGAACAATTGGCATGTGTTGGCGCCCTCTTATGTTAGTTCCTCTGTGACGACTTTAGAAAAGCTTCTTCGCATCACCTTCAAACTTTCAATACACTTGTGTATCCTGTATAAAAGAAGGTTGAGATTATTAGTGGAATGTGTAATTACCATTTTGCCGATTTTAATTTGCGAGAGACATCAATCATTAATGTCTGAAGCATCTAATTAAATGGATGAAATGATCTGAGGATAAAACGAGACAGTTATCACGTCTCTATCACTTATTCTTCTTGCATGTAATTATTGGTATTATTTTGGGTTGGATTGCTTTCTAATTGTATTTTTTCACTGTGTTTGTTCTTCATGTTGGTCGCCTTGATAACAGTGACAGCTACCTAACCCAAGGATTTTAAGCTTCTCACCTTCCTCGGTTCATAGCTGACTGAGTCTGCTTTTCTCGGTACTGCATATAACAATAAATAATAGAGTGAATGTCTTTGCCTGTTTCTGTCAATGTTTCACATCAAAGACCTTATAGAAGGCCTTTACTTAAAATTATTTTGCATGTAATAATGTTTCTGGCCTTAAACAACTTGAGAGTGAGAGTTGCTCCCATTAATTTACCTAAGCTATAAAAGGACTGACAATTCTCACCCAGTACAATTGTGCGGTTTTCATCCTTAACGAAGCTGTATGGTTCGGTATATTCCTCAGGGACCTCAAGAGGAAAGTGGACACTCTGGAAGGGTAGGTACAGGAACATGGGATCCTCAGGATTCCTGGACGACAGTAGTTGTTCAACGTATGAAGAGAAGAGGAACTGTGTGAGAGACCAATGATTCATGACAAAAGCAGAATAAGTTTGTATTCTTATTCACTTTCGGAAAGAACATTCCAAATTAACTTTAACCTTACAGCTATACACAAAGTTCCTTTAAAACTTGGACTAGTGATGTTCATAATGTGGTGATAAAGAAGGAACTGTTTCAAGTGCAGACACTGAAATCACAGTTCATTACTATAAATGGAGAGTAAAATGGCAAGTGACAATGTCAAAGAAATATGAAATGAAAATTTACCTTTTAAATATTAATCGGGAGTGACAACTCTCAGTAATCGGATGAAAGATCCATTAGTAAACAGTATTAGTTTCCCTACTCATAGCAATGAACCTTTGGACATGTTTAAGAGTATATACAGTGAGAGAGATGCATGTGACAATGTATATACACCGAGAGTTTAATACCCATATTAAGTTTTAAAGTATTCTTGACTGATGGTGTTCAGGAGTAAGCTTAATAGCCATTGCGTAATTAACAGGCTTTAAAACATTCGACTGTACGATGCATTCGAAAACTTAAAGAACATTTTCGACAACTAATAATTATTAAAAATATGTATAATGTTTATTTTAAGGTTAAGTAATATTTACCGGGGAGTAGGTGGAGTTGTCTGTCACTTCTACATCTGTGTTTCTCCTGAAGTCGTAGCCGTAGCTCATTTTCTCTATGTAAATAATATTGGAAAATTATGTAATCATTTAAGAAAATTTATTTTCTTCGATCTTTGATTAGTGTTCATTGATATTTAACTTACACAAGTCCTCTCTATACCGTTAACACTACATAATTTACTTTGGGAGAGAATCACATGTTAGATTTTTTATTTCCAATTTTTGGGCATGTGAAGAAAGAAGCAGTCTTACTATCATTGCACATTAAATCCTCGTAAAGATGTGGTGGAACAATATGGCTGTAGTAGTATTCGGCACCTTGGTAGTAACCATAGAAGGTGTCGAAGCCTCGCAGGGTCGGAGTGTACTGCCACGAGCAGAAACCAAGATGCCACCTGGAATCCAGCAGCAACTGTGACCCACCAGTAACATGTGTATGACTTTTGTCTAGTCGATGTATATGTAGGAAGATTAATGTACTCTTCTGTGATTACACGCTAACTAAAAAATTACACCTGTGTAAGAAACCAGAAGACCACACTGGTGTACGAGCCAGAAGACCACACTAATGCACGAATCAGAAGACTATACTGGTGGAGGAACCGGAAGACTACACTGGTGCACGAACCAGACGACTACACTGATGAACAAACCAGAAGACCACACTCATGCACGAGCCAGAAGACCACACTTGTTCACGAGCAAGAAGACCACACTGGTGCACGAACCAGACGACTACACAGATGCACGAACCTAAAGACTACACTGATGCACGAACCAAAAGACCACACTGATGCACGAGACAGAAGACCACATGGTACACGAACCAGAAGACCACACAAGCACTAACCAGATCACATTGATGCACGAATCAGAAGGCCACACCGGTGCAGGAACAAAACAACACTAACACGAACCAAACAACACTGACACGAAATAGACAACACAGACACAAGAACAATATCAATACCGATGCATAAGTAGAAAATACTAACGCTACAGAACAGCCAAAACTGACGCAAGAATCACAAAAATCACATTCTGATGTTCGAAACAGATCACTCAGATGCACTATCTGGAAGACCACACTCATGAGCGAACCAGAAGATCACTCAGATGCACTAACTAGAAGACCACACTCACGTACGAACAAGATCACTCAATGCACTACCAGACACTCATGAACGAACCAGAAGATCACTCAGATGCACTAACTGGAAGACCACACTCACGTACAAACCAGAAGATCACAAGCGCATTGTGATGTCACAGTTACTGAGATACTCACTTGCCGACGATGTGTGTGGAGTAACCGGCCGACTTCAGAGTCTGTGGCAGTATGGTGAGATCCGGGTCCAGCCCTGAAGGCGACAGTGGCCAGATTACCAGATGCTGTGGAAGAATTTCCTATCAAACTTTACGATGTGTTAAGTCTAACTACTGGTATAGTCTGTATTTGCTGTTTCTTCTATGTATGTGTGTACTCACCCATTTACCTACTTGAAGTTGCTTCTGCTCCCTATCCTCAACTGACGCTTCAGAATTCCCTCTCTTCTTTCATCTTAAGCCCTTTCTTAAGCTGTCCTACTAGCCGGTACTCCGTTTCTAGTCTTCTCTCCCCTTCAATTTTCATAATTTTCCATTTGATGGGGTTAAATTCCAAGAGCCACTTGTCAGAACAATCCTGTATCTTTTTCATATCTGTCTGTATGCTTTCCATGTCCCCTAATGTTTGTTTTTATATCATTAGTTTCACGTCATCTTGGAACAGTAATACATCATACCATCTCTTTTATCCCATCATTTACGTACACAAGAAATGGCAGCAGTCACTTGTGGACATTGACCATTTCGCTCTCGGGCTGAGTGGTTGTGCTGCGCAGAAGCTCCTGATTTCACTTTTGCGCAGCTTCCTATTTTCTCCAAGATGGCGGCCAGTTGCCGCAGGAAGAGTAACACTGTGTGTGTTGACTTAGTCAAAGGAGTAATTTACCCGACGAATGCCTCTGTTTTACTGCCGCGATCGTCTGGGATACGTTCCTCATTGACAACGATGAGCTATATGGGATTGCTCTTAATGGATCTTCAAGGATTTTCATCAAGTTCTGCACAGTGGCGGCTTACGAAAGGACGGTGACTCAATATCAGGAGAGGTGTATCACCGTATCAACTGGGCTGGAGGTATGCCTGCGGGATGCCTCCAAATACTGCACCTGGGTGAGAATTCGAAATGTTCCTTTTGAAGTGGATGATGTGGATATTTGTGAGACATTTCGACGCTATGGTGAGGTGCATGCTGTAACTTTGGGACGATGGACGGATGGAATCTATATGGGGCTTCCTGCAGGGTCTTACACTATCAAGATGACATTGAGAAGGCCTCTTCCCTCGTATGTAGTCCTGGAGGATTTTAGGACACAGGTGTTCGTGACTTATGCGGGACAACGTAAGACGTGTCATCTGTGTGGTGCTTTTGACCACATGGCGGCCGGGTGTGGTAAGGCAGCAGCTCCACGGTCAACGGAAATGCCAGTAGTCACGGTGTCTTTGGTGGCATATTCGTCTGCTGCTGTGGCTGCGGCAGACAAAGAAAATTGGGTGGACGAATTGGATGGTGGGGAGGAGCATTGTGTGACGCTATCAGAAGCTTCGGTTGCTCCCCCACAAGAAGGGCCTGGAGTTGAGCAGCAGCCTGTGGGGGAGGGGAGGCGGGTGAACTACAGGATTTATCTGAACCTCTGCAGGAGATGAAAAAGTCTTTCCTGGACGTACCAGCAGAGGAGATCCCCTATGTAGATGGGGAAATTCTGATGGTTGAGGAGGCCCTGAATGGGCAGGTCCCAGGGCCTCTGGGATCAGGGTCTGGCATGTTGCAATTGCAGCAGGTGGAGGCTGAGGTGCAGAGGGGGAGTGGAAATACTGGTATGGAGATTGAGGGTGCATCTAGGAAGAGAGCTGGAAGATCGTCGGATGACGAGGTCATTACTCCAGCTCAGTGTTCTGGTAAGAAGACGTGGGTGGGAGTGACTATGAAAGTGCAGGGCAGTGCATAGGGGGGGAGGGGGTCAAGGGGGGCAAGAGTGCATGGGAGAAGACAGGAGCATTGAAAAGTATAATAGACAGGACACAGAGACATAGAGGAAAGCCCCCCTTTCTGCATATTTAAGTGTCTAACTATAAATGTGAATGGCCTTAGAGCTGAAGTTAAACGTGTATGGTTGGAGGATGTTTTGCGGTGTTTTGACATTGACGTGTGTTTTATTCAAGAACACAATTTTAAGTGTGGTAGAGAGTTGAGGCTGAAAGGTTTTAGGATTTATGCAGGTAGTTCAGGGAAAGTAAAGGGTGGGGTGGCAGTAGCAGTAAGGGAATCCAGCCCATTTCAAGTCCTTGTGTGGGAATAGGGGGGGAGGGGAGGGTGGTGAGGGTAGAGGGGCTATGGGGGAGATTCGGGTGTGTTTTCTGGGTATATATATGCCGGCCGATAGTAACAGACGGGTAAAGGTGGATTTTGTACGGGAGGTTTTGCTTTTCCACATGCGGGGTTTACCCAGGGTTTCTATAGTAGGTGGTGACTGAAATTGTGTAATTAGAAATAAGGATGTGGAGCCGAGAGGGGCAGGGTGTGTGCTTGGGGTGTTGAGGGATTTGTTGAGGGATGCAGGGATTTATGACATAGTCAGGGAGATGGTGGAGAGTGGAACACACGTTTATGCGGAGGGGTTATGCTGCCAGACTGGATCGCATATATATAACTCGTCAGAATACAGTAGAACATGTGCTGATGGTAGACTTTGGTTTTTCGGACCATCGTGCTATTTTGGCAGAGGTGGCATGGGACGGTATGGTTCGCCGGAATGCGGGTTATTGGAAAATGAATGTGAGGTTACTTCAGGGGGAGGGGGAGGGGTTGTCATTCAGGGGCTGGTGGGGTCAACTCTGGGAGGCATGCAACAACGAGGAGGATGTATTGGGATGGTGGGAGAAGCACGCTAAACCGTGGATTAAGGAGTATTATCAGCATAGAGGACGGGATGAGGCGCGGTGGAGGTTTGGTTTACAGAAATACCTTGAGGGGCAGCTCAATGATTGCTATGAAGGGGGCGGGGGCAGTAGGCATGGGAAAATAGAGGTTTTAAAGGGAAGATTGAAGGATATACAAAATTCTTGCTTTGATGTGATACATGTGAGGATACTGTCAGGATGTGTTTTACGGAGGTTCAGGGAAAGGCAGCAGATGACCACAATTATGGGATTAGAGGTGTGCAAAGGGGTGGGGGATATAGGGTGGGGCAGGTACTAAGTACCACTGATGGAATAAGTAACTATGCTGATTATTGGTTTAGGAAGAATTTTAAGCAGGGGGAGGGTGGAGGAAGGGAGGAGGAGATTATAGGTGAAGGAATTCGGGGAGTTTTAGGGAGGGGGAGAAAGCGGTGCAAGGGGGCAGGATTAGCGAGGAGGAGGTGGGGGAGGCGGTAATGAGCTTGAGTAGGGAAAAAAAGCCGAGGATTGATGGGATACCTAACGATTTCTATATTGCACATTGGGATTGTATGAAGGAATGTCTGGTTTTTTTGCTTAATTGTATGAAGGAAGGGGGAGTGTTGGGGGAGATGCAGGGTGCGGGGATAGTTGTTTTGGTTCATAAAGGTGGGGGGAGGACCCTGGGTGCCTATAGGGCGATCTCCCTTATGTATGCTGATTATAAGCTTTTCGCGAAGGTTTTAGGTAATCGCATGAAGGTGATTGACCTTGTTCTGCATAAAGGACAGTATGGGATACCAGGTCGAAATATGCGTGAGGGGCATGGGAGAATTAGGGATTTTGTGGAGGGCAGACAAAGGGGGGGGGATCTTGGGGATCGATTGGAAGCAGGTGTATGACTGTGTAGATAGACGTATGTTGTGGAGTATTTTACAAAACCAGGGTTTTGGGGATGAGATTGTGCGGTGGGTGACTACTTTGTATACACCTGCGAGGGTCAGAGTAAAGGTTAATGGGAAGTTAGGGCTGCCGGTGCAGTTGGGGAAGGGTTTGCGACAGGGTTGTACCTTGTCTCAAATCCTCTTTGCTTGCGTGCAAGACCCATTTTATAGGCTTATAGAGGAAGGAGTGTGGGAACAGGGAGGGGAGGGTCCTGGCGGATGTGGGATTGTGGGGTATGTGGATGACACCACAGGTTTGGTGGGAGGGGAGATCAGATTGGGGAATGTGGGACGTATAATAGAGATTTTTGGTAGGGCGACTGGGATGAGGGTTAATGGAACAAAGTCTAAGTTATTGGAAGTAGGTACGTGGGTGGGAGGGTTTGGGGGAAGTGTATGGGTGGAACATTGTGAATAGAATTAAGATCTGCAGGGTTGTGTACATGGCGGATGCTGGGGAGACACAGAGGATAAATTCAAGGGAAGTTGTAAGTAGAGCGTTGGATAGGATGCGAGGGTGGAGGGCCGGGGATGTTACATTGCAGCAGAGGGTGGTGGTGGTGGTATACACTCTTGTGTATATCACTCGTGTGATATTCAGGAACTGGGGAGGGGGATTTTGAGGTATGTGTGGGGTTATGGGAGGCCATGGCTATGGAAGGAGGTGGTGATGACGGGCTTGCGGCAGGGTGGGCTGGGTATCATACCTTTGGATATACGAGCGAATGCAGTGTATGTGAAGCAGTGGTACCTGAGGGCGGGAGGGGAGAGGGGTATAAGGGTGGGAGTGGTCATGGAAGATGTGAGAAAATGGTGGAAGGGGATGGCGTTATTGGTATGTGAAGATATGGTGCTTAATTTGTTGACTATATGGGATGCAAGGAAAGTAAGGGTAAGTAGGCTTGGGAGGACAAGTAGGCAGGGTGGGGTGATACAGGGAGTTGATACATACTTGATGTATGATTGGAGGGGCATTTGGGAAGACTTTTGAAAAATTAAATTAAAGCCGAAGGTTCGTGAATTGGTATATAGGCTCTTTCTGGGAATACTAGCTTCAAGGTCGGTGCTATATAAAATAGGTTATGTAGGCGTGGGAAATTGTCTGCATTGTGGGGAGGAGGAGACGGCTTTTCATGCTGTATATTTTTGTGAAAACTTGGGGGCTGTAAGGACATGGCTAGTGAGGGTCCTGGGTATAGTGGCGGGGGGGAGTAACATTTCGACTTTGAGAGCTTTGTGTTTTGATGTGTGAGGGGTTTCCAAGGACATTCAGCGGGCAGTGATGTATCTGGTGGCAGATTTTTTGTATATTTCTTGGGGTATGCGGGAGGTGGGGGTGATTGTAGGGTGCGGGCGCTTGCAGCGAGTGTGTATCGTATGGTTTGCAGGAATAGGCTACTATATGGGAGGGTGTGGGTAAATAGCTTTCCTTTGGGTTATCGTAATCTGACAGTAGGTGTTATG